TTTGAGCGAATCATTCAGACTGGTTTTCTGAACTGGATTCACTTAAATGATTCAATACAAAAGAATGATTCATTTACAAATCAGATATTTTTTAAACATTTTTGAGCTTTTGTAATAAAAATGAACTCCAGATATGACGTAACAAGTTTTAAACATAATAAAAAACAGCTATAACTTTATTTCAATCATGACAACTCTCTGAAGATTTTAGCATGGTGATGGATATGACAATGTTAATGTATTTGGTCTTGGCGGAATAGATCTGCTACACTGCTGCTGAATTGCTGTTGCTGTTGGTTATTGCTGTAGTTGTAGATTATTGCTGCTGCTGCAAGCAAGTGCAGGAACTGGCTACTGCCAATGCATACGGCGATACAGTGCTGGGAGTATTTAAGACATACTGCTGCTCCACAAATAGCATATAAAATAACCCGTAGCAGGTGGAGCTGGGGAAGGTGGAGGGTTTCAGAGAAACTCTGAAAGCACGCTGCAAAAATCTCAAGTGAATGCTAGCCAGCCATATAAATGCAAGGCCGTAAGCTCATTGGCTGCATATGCAACATGAACCAATCAGCTTGTGCCGAGTCGTTTAACTCTCTGAATATCATCAGTTACGTTAACAACCCGTCAGCCTGTGCCATCTAGAGTTTCATGACTGAACTATACATTTATGCAACTTCATTAAGGATTCATGCCTTTGTGCATGCTGGGAAAATAGTACAGTAAAGTTTAGTAGATTGTATTTGATACCTTAGAAATAAGTATTTTGGGATCAGTTCTTGAGAACACATTGTAAATATATCAATTGTAAATTATTGTAAATAATTACATATTTGCTGATAATTCAGTTCAAGTCATTTTTATATTTCTAGCGCTTTTAATGATGCATTGCATGTCATTCTAAAGCAAGTTTACAGGAGATGCTTGTTTACAATTAAGAGTACTTTCAAGTTCAAATTTCTACATGCTTGAATTGAGTACAAATGTACAATTTGCATAATTTTTAACATTTATTTAAAGCAATAGCTCTGACGGCACCCATTCATTGCAGAGGATCCATTGGTGATCAAGTGATGTAATGCTAAATTTCTCCAAATCTGTTTCGGTGAACAAACATCTTCAGGCCATCCAAGATGTGGATGAGTTTAAGTAAATTTTCAGCCATTTTTGGGTGAACTATTGCTTTAAAATACTAGATTTCTTTATTAATAATATAATTATTTTATGCATTTCTTGTAGAACTTTCTTGAAGAATTTTAGGCCTTGAAGTGTTTTGTTGTTCTTTACAATTGCAAAATGATCTAACCACTACTGTTGGCCACCAAAGTCGAATATACAGCAGTAATGCCTGGTGTCATATGGTAATATCATTGTCTTTTGTCATTAAGCGTTTAAAATAACACCTCAAATTTGTAAGATTAGTATTAAGTCCCAATACTGAAACACCATCCAGTGTACAGCACCTGTGAAGGCAGAAGTCTGTTATTATCCACTGCTGTTAGGAAGTCTGTAAATAGAAATGGTGTAACTTCTGGAAGGACATGTGGAGTGTGTGTGAGAGTGAGAGATAGAGTTGGTATGGGGCAGGATCTGCCACTGCTCTAACACAGGCCTGATGTTTTAAAATAAAGCAGGCTGTTGGCTTTGATGTTAAGGGGCCTCTGAAGCAGACGGTCTGATTCAATAAAGATCACTGCTGCTTATCCCGCTCTACGCTGTAAGCTTAGCCTTCACTCCAAAGTGCTTTTATGAAGGTGAGATGGGAGAAGACCATGAGAATTCACTTGATACTAACAGCAGATGTACTTTAAACCCGCTTGATCGGCGTCCTACTGAACGCGTCTTCTGGAGCTTGTGATGTGGTTGTGCTCAATGTCACCCGCTGTCACTGTGGGCTCTGTGATCAAGTTTGACGTGTTAGGGCTTTTATGTACAATCATTTGACTTACTGTGAACATGCATCAAAATTCAACCATACCTGCCAGGCACCAAATGTAGGGAGGGGTTAGTCACTCTTTGAATTTGGTGGTCTAGATAATATTAAACCAAGATAATGTTATTTAGTTGGCTTAATAACATAACTGAGCTATTGTTGGATTTGCAAAAATTGCTTTTTTTTTAATGCATCAGTAAGAATGCTGAAAACTACAAAAGTCAGTGATGTTTTATGTCAGATGCATTGTTTATTTATTCATAAATGTGTGAATATATGAATTATATTATATCCATATCATTTAATATATAATTTTGCATTTACAATTATTATTTTTTTCACATTTCATATTTTTTGCATAATTGAATTTTTGGAAAATTACACACACACACACATGCATGTTTGTATTTCAAATATAAATTTTTTGTTTCCTTTTTACTCTTTTAAAGCAATTGAATTAAAATACTTTTAATGAAAGTAATTAAAATGACTTTTAATTAATTAAAATACTTAATGAAGCAATGAAGCATTAAACAGTAAAACTTACTGTAAAACTTTTTTTTTAATGCTGTTCTTTTTGAGCTTTATATTTATCAGTCTTGGAAAAAATGTATCAACGATTCCACAAATATGTTGCTTGCCATAATTGTTTTCAACATTGATAATAATTTAAAACGTTTCTTGAGCATCAAATCAGCATATTAGAATGATTTCTGAAGGATCATGTGACACTGAAGATTGGAGTAATGACATGACATGAAAATACAGCTCTGCATCACCGCAATAAATTACATCTTAAAATATATGAAAATCTAAAAGGTAAATTGTAATAACATTTCCTAATAATACTGGTTTTACTTTTACTGTATTTTTGATTAAAAAAAAAGTTTATTATTTGGTAAGCATGAGAAACTTTTTTCAAATAGGTCTTACCGTTTTACTTTACTTACCGTCTTACCGCAATTTAGCATTGCTAAATAAAATTGTTGCTTTCCTTGTAGGATAATGTTATATATATATATATATACAGTGGGTACGGAAAGTATTCAGACCCCCTTAAATTTTTCACTCTTTGTTATATTGCAGCCATTTGCTAAAATCATTTAAGTTAATTTTTTTTCCTCATTAATGTACACACATCACCCCATATTGACAGAAAAACACAGAATTGTTGACATTTTTGCAGATTTATTAAAAAAGAAAAACTGAAATATCACATGGTCCTAAGTATTCAGACCCTTTGCTGTGACACTCATATATTTAACTCAGGTGCTGTCCATTTCTTCTGATCATCCTTGAGATGGTTCTACACCTTAATTTGAGTCCAGCTGTGTTTGATTATACTGATTGGACTTGATTAGCAAAGCCACACACCTGTCTATATAAGACATTACAGCTCACAGTGCATGTCAGAGAAAATGAGAATCATGAGGTCAAAGGAACCGCCTGAAGAGCTCAGACACAGAATTGTGGCAAGGCACAGATCTCGCCAAGGTTACAAAAAAAAATTTCTGCTGCACTTAAGGTTCCTAAGAGCACAGTGGCCTCCATAATCCTTAAATGGAAGACGTTTGGGACGACCAGAACCCTTGCTTTTATGTACAATCATTTGACTTACTGTGAACATGCATCAAAATTCAACCATACCTGCCAGGCACCAAATGTAGGGAGGGGTTAGTCACTCTTTGAATTTGGTGGTCTAGATAATATTAAACCAAGATAATGTTATTTAGTTGGCTTAATAACATAACTGAGCTATTGTTGGATTTGCAAAAATTGCTTTTTTTTTAATGCATCAGTAAGAATGCTGAAAACTACAAAAGTCAGTGATGTTTTATGTCAGATGCATTGTTTATTTATTCATAAATGTGTGAATATATGAATTATATTATATCCATATCATTTAATATATAATTTTGCATTTACAATTATTATTATTTTTTTCACATTTCATATTTTTTGCATAATTGAATTTTTGGAAAATTACACACACACACACACATGCATGTTTGTATTTCAAATATAAATTTTTTGTTTCCTTTTTACTCTTTTAAAGCAATTGAATTAAAATACTTTTAATGAAAGTAATTAAAATGACTTTTAATTAATTAAAATACTTAATGAAGCAATGAAGCATTAAACAGTAAAACTTACTGTAAAACTTTTTTTTTAATGCTGTTCTTTTTGAGCTTTATATTTATCAGTCTTGGAAAAAATGTATCAACGATTCCACAAATATGTTGCTTGCCATAATTGTTTTCAACATTGATAATAATTTAAAACGTTTCTTGAGCATCAAATCAGCATATTAGAATGATTTCTGAAGGATCATGTGACACTGAAGATTGGAGTAATGACATGACATGAAAATACAGCTCTGCATCACCGCAATAAATTACATCTTAAAATATATGAAAATCTAAAAGGTAAATTGTAATAACATTTCCTAATAATACTGGTTTTACTTTTACTGTATTTTTGATTAAAAAAAAAGTTTATTATTTGGTAAGCATGAGAAACTTTTTTCAAATAGGTCTTACCGTTTTACTTTACTTACCGTCTTACCGCAATTTAGCATTGCTAAATAAAATTGTTGCTTTCCTTGTAGGATAATGTTATATATATATATATATACAGTGGGTACGGAAAGTATTCAGACCCCCTTAAATTTTTCACTCTTTGTTATATTGCAGCCATTTGCTAAAATCATTTAAGTTAATTTTTTTTCCTCATTAATGTCAAACAAGATCTATTTGTCTGGCATTATGTCACTGCACAGGTCAAATGTTGACCCAGGATTGGTCCAGCACAAAACAGTGAAAACATCATTGATACAAACATCTGAAGGGATGTTCTGAGGTCTCAGCTTTGGCTCTAAGAATGCGGCCCTCTATTCATGTGATTGCAGGATCATAGTCAGAGAAATTACTGAGGAATTTAAGAATATGAGCGAGCTTGCAAAAAAACATTTGAGTCCCATTTAAAGGGAGGAAAGAGTATTTTGCATCAGACATCAAAAGCGGAGCTTAGGCCTGTTTCTGGATAGAGCTAATAGGAGTCTTGTGGAATGGCTTAAAGTGTTTAATATCTGAGGATGGATCTTATTTGACTGTGATACAAGGTGAAAGACTCTTTGACCTCAACAGATCCTATGGAATCATCTCCTGTGAATTTAACACACTGAGAGTCAGCAACAATTGACATTTAATGTGACATGGACTATTTATTTAGCACTCAAAATGTGTCCATACATCTATATGCACAAACCCCTACCATCAACACATGACTATGACTCAATAAATACTTTGCAAAGATTATGCAGGACTGTTTTGTTTTTAGCAAAAAAGGATAAGTGATACAACAGGACATAATATAGGAATTCTGTTCATCCAACTAGACAAATATATGCATGTTTACACAGAAACCTGAATATTGTATCCGATACTCTTATATCCGTCCAAGAATCCTGAGGTGAGGGTTTCCAACTGCATGTTGGCCATAATACAAGCATGCAAAAACACATGAAACTCTCGCTGTCAGCTGATCATTGGTGGGGTGATTCCTGATATGACTTCCCTTTAGTTTTCCCTTTTACTCCTTATAAAAAAATCTGATAGCCCAAGTAATACAGATCAACAATACAAAGAGAACCACGATATTATTCTTTCCATGAAAACACTCCAACCAGAGGTTCTGAGGGAAACCATATGAAGATGTTCATAGCAAGTCCTGTTCAAACACACAGCCAGTTTTCGAAACGAGTTCTGCTTCTGTTTTAGAAGGTTCATAGCATCATCTCAGCTCAGAACTCTCTGGCCTCCTCAAACTGTTTATAGTAGTCCTCATCCTGAGGGTTCTCTGCACATTTCTGTCCGTTATTGGGAGGTCGAGCCTGGTTGTAGCGGCTCCAGTCGCCCTTGCAGATGATCCATGGTAGGATGTCCACTTTGTAGTGCAGGTCGGCGGAGAACTCGGTGCTGATGAGGTTGGGCGTTCCGGCCCCTTTGCCTCGGGTGATGAGCTTCATGCTGTCGTCGTAGCAGCAGTGCTGGGCCGCCAGCGTGGTGGATTCCAGCGTGAGCATGGAGCGGATGCAATAGCGAGCGGTGGGTTTGTAGATCTCCAGCTTCTCCTTTGGTCCGCTGGCGTCCTTCCAGCGGAAGTTGCGCCTTGTGGTGGCGTCATGAACGTCTGCAGTGCTGTAGGCCACCTCGGTTGGGTATAAGCAGGGGCAGCTAGGTAGGTCGTTGGCCACTTTGCTCATGTATTTCTTGAGGAACTCGCTCTTGCAGTTCATCCAACGCTCGCAGCTGTCTGTGTCTGGGGAGTAACCAACATCACAATCAGAATCACACAGTCAAAGCAGTTTTTAAATACGTGATTGACACGTTTCCAAAGGAATTTTAATTCCGTAAGTTTTCCGTAATTCTCACTGTTAACTAGTTGCTTATTAGCATGCCTATTATTATCATATTGGCTGTTTATTAGTACGTATAAAGCACATCTCTAATTCTACCCAACACCTAAACTTTAAAACTACCTTACTAAGCAGTAATTAGGAGATTGAGGCAAAAGTTATAGATAATAGTTAAATAATAGTGAGAATTGGACCTTAAAATAAAGTGTGACTGAAATATGTTTGAAAAAATACCGTAATTGACTGAATATTAAATAAAAGAAAATAAATATAAATATAATAAAATAAAATAGTCGTTTTAAATTCCACATAACACAGTAAGTAACAAGTTGTATGTGTTTAGTTTGATCGGGAATCGGACCACATTAGTCACACTTGGTTTTGACTGACTTAAAACAGCACATTAAATTAATATTATCTTATAAGTTTGTTTTTTAGTGAATCAAAACCATACAATACAACTAGTGAGGTCAGATTCATGAATGAATTAGTGAACTAGTTGTGCTGTTTGGTTGTGATTCACTAAGAACCGACTCTTAAGACTAATTTGTTAAGGAATCAGACTGCATTAGTCCAGATAGTAGTGGTGTTGTGGTTTGTAAGCAACATTTACCAATTTACCAATATATGTTTTCCTACATTTACGATAGTAAGCTAGTAGGTTTTATTGGTGTACTAGAAAGCTAATCTGTATTCCTGTTTCTCTGCCTGAATATGGCACAATATAGAGTAAAAAGAGTACCCTTGTAGAGTTAGGAGCTTGTTTTGCTTGCTTTTTAGTGACCAGTTAACCAGGTCGTGTTAAATTACAAATAACTTACCAACTCCAAAGAGTTCTGTTGCATTAAACTCTTCAGTGCCGGCGAGAAGACTGACTTCTGTTGCTGCCGTCTTGAAAGCATCTTCAATCCCTGTACATAAGAAAGTGGTTTACTCAGTGCCATTCATTTCAAAGATGGTCTTTTTGGCAGCATATGCCACTTGGTAATCTAGGAACAGGTGTTTGCTTGTACGGCCTCCAAAGGATGGTCCAGGGAAAGGCTTTCTTACCTGGACAGCTGGGCATGTCACATGTGCGTGACTCTGTGGCTGTGCAGGCGTAGCCGCATGACCTGGTCCGCTTCTGGTTGCCATTTCCACAGGATACGCTGCATGGCGACCAACCACTCCAGTCACCGTCACCATCTATGTAGTCTATAATAGAGTGAAAAATATATAGTTTTTTCACACATTCACTGGCTCTTGAGTGCTATGACATGATTTCAAGCACAGGTTGTGTTGTGCTCCTGTCCCACTGAGCAGATCCTGATTCAGACCGTATGTTTCAAATACCTGAGGCGCTCAAACTCGGCCTGCTGGCCAATACCATTAGCATACTTCTCTAATTGGCTCATACACATGGGAGTGGGTGAATGAATGAGCCAAGTCTGCATACTTAAGCCAACTTCCAACTGCTTTTTAAACAACATACAAGTACTACTCTTACATTTCTGATTCAGTGATGAGGGGCAACCAAAACAGTAGCTGAAGTATTGAGGTGGAGTATTCTAGAAATACAGTTTTATATCCTTACAATGGGCGTTTACAGTTGATCTGTTGGACACAAAAACATCTGCTCTTGCTGGATTAACATGAAACCAACCTAAGATTTTCTGTTTAGAAATGAAAGATAATTTCTAAGTAAATCAAAGCTGAAATTTTAATAATAACAATGTATTTGTTTAACATTATTTATTATTTTGTTATTATTATTATTATTTATCAATTGCGGCTAGGAAAATTCTTTACAGGATGATGATGATGATGAATCTAATAATAAAAAAAGTTTATGCTCTAAAATATATAAATTGTGGCTAGGAAATTCTTTACAAAATTATTATTATTAATCTAATAATAAAAAAGTTTCTGCCCTAAAATATATAAATTGTGGCTAGGAAATTCTTTACAAAATTATTATTATTAATCTAATAAGTTTATGCTCTAAAATGTATCAATTGTGGCTAGGAAAATTCTTTACAGTATGATGATGATGATGATGCTTATTATTATTAATCTAATAAGTTTATGCTCTAAAATGTATCAATTGTGGCTAGGAAAATTCTTTACAGTATGATGATGATGATGATGCTTATTATTATTAATCTAATAATAAAAAAGTTTCTGCCCTAAAATATATAAATTGTGGCTAGGATATTATTTACAAAATTATTATCACACTAATAATAAGTATATGCTCTAAAATATTTAAACTGTAAAGTATAAAAACTTTACAAAAATGATGCTTATTATTATTATTAATCTAATAATAAAAAAGTTTCTGCCCTAAAATATATAAATTGTGGCTAGGATATTATTTACAAAATTATTATCACACTAATAATAAGTATATGCTCTAAAATATTTAAACTGTAAAGTATAAAAACTTTACAAAAATGATGCTTATTATTATTATTAATCTAATAATAAAAAAGTTTCTGCCCTAAAATATATAAATTGTGGCTAGGATATTATTTACAAAATTATTATCACACTAATAATAAGTATATGCTCTAAAATATTTAAACTGTAAAGTATAAAACCTTTACAAAAATGATGATGATGATGATTATTATTATAAATTCTATATTGTTAATGTCAGTTTTGTATTTATATGCAACACAAATTTATTAGATTATTTTAATCAATAATAATAATAACGTTTTTTTTAAATAATTTAATAATTTATGATAAATATTTTTTAATATTTCTTATAATTGTTAGATTTCTTTTAAAATATTCTCTTTCTTTCTTTCTTTCTTTCTTTCTTTCTTTCTTTCTTTCTTTCTTTCTTTCTTTCTTTCTTTCTTTCTCAGTTTCTTTCTTTCTTTCTTTCTTTCTTTCTTTCTTTCTTTCTTTCTTTCTTTCTTTCTTTCTTTCTTTCTTTCTTTCTTTCTTTCTTTCTTTCTTTCTCAACTGCTTTTTAAACAACATACAAGTACTACTCTTACATTTCTGATTCAGTGATGAGGGGCAACCAAAACAGTAGCTGAAGTATTGAGGTGGAGTATTCTAGAAATACAGTTTTATATCCTTACAATGGGCGTTTACAGTTGATCTGTTGGACACAAAAACATCTGCTCTTGCTGGATTAACATGAAACCAACCTAAGATTTTCTGTTTAGAAATGAAAGATAATTTCTAAGTAAATCAAAGCTGAAATTTTAATAATAACAATGTATTTGTTTAACATTATTTATTATTTTGTTATTATTATTATTATTTATCAATTGCGGCTAGGAAAATTCTTTACAGGATGATGATGATGATGAATCTAATAATAAAAAAAGTTTATGCTCTAAAATATATAAATTGTGGCTAGGAAATTCTTTACAAAATTATTATTATTAATCTAATAAATTTATGCTCTAAAATGTATCAATTGTGGCTAGGAAAATTCTTTACAGTATGATGATGATGATGATGCTTATTATTATTATTATTATTATTAATCTAATAATAAAAAAGTTTCTGCCCTAAAATATATAAATTGTGGCTAGGATATTATTTACAAAATTATTTGTCACACTAATAATAAGTATATGCTCTAAAATATTTAAACTGTAAAGTATAAAAACTTTACAAAAATGATGCTTATTATTATTATTAATCTAATAATAAAAAAGTTTCTGCCCTAAAATATATAAATTGTGGCTAGGATATTATTTACAAAATTATTATCACACTAATAATAAGTATATGCTCTAAAATATTTAAACTGTAAAGTATAAAACCTTTACAAAAATGATGATGATGATGATTATTATTATAAATTCTATATTGTTAATGTCAGTTTTGTATTTATATGCAACACAAATTTATTAGATTATTTTAATCAATAATAATAATAACGTTTTTTTTTAATAATTTAATAATTTATGATAAATATTTTTTAATATTTCTTATAATTGTTAGATTTCTTTTAAAATATTCTTTCTTTCTTTCTTTCTTTCTTTCTTTCTTTCTTTCTTTCTTTCTCAGCTCAATCAGATAATGAAAGAAAAGCAGCCAAACCAAGGGTGGATACTTTGAAAAAGCTAAATTATAAGGATGTTTTGATTTGTTTAACATTTCTTTTGGACATTACATAATCTCAAACTTTCCTGGTAGTGTATAGACACACACACACACACACACACACACAAACCAAGCAAGCAAGCAACCACAATCTATATCCTTTGCCCCTGATGATAGAAAAACAAAGACCTTTGGTCTTAAAAAGACAACATTACTTTCAGCGCCGTCAAGTTGCATGGTCACAGTCGAGTGCGGGCCAACTCACAGGCAGCAACATGTCTGAACCCACAAGAGCCACAGCTCCCCACACACCGCTAATGGAAACGAATAAGCCAATCAAAAGCAGATACGGCAAACCCTCAGGAATGAGTCACGGCCACAACAGACCGTGTGCTAGTCGTAAGGAAAATTTATATGGAGAATTTTTTACTTCGATTTGGTATTACCTTAACACATTGATCAAAGAGAGTTCCTCTAGAGCAAAAGGGTTTAGGCAAGTGGTGACAGGGTAAGAATGCGTTTGACAGGAAGCGCAGTCTCTGACAGCAACACACATTCACTCATTTAACTCCACTTTACCTAAAGAGACAGAAAGAGAGCTATTAGACCAGAGGAACAGATGCTCTGGATTCTCTCTCTCCTGCTTTGATGTTCAGGAGTGCTTTCTGTCACGGAGACAGACTCTGCCACACAGGAATCTCTCTCCTACAGGAAGCAATCTACAATCACAGACTCCGTAAGAAGCACTGTCCTTGTTATAGTGACAGCGTAAATCATCTGACGAGCAAATGACAGATTCCATCACCTCACGGCGGAGCCATATTTATGCTTTGCAGAGCCCTTCATTAAAACAGTAATTCCGTAACACATGCTCGTCTGCAACGAACCGTATTCGGTCTGGGATCTGCTTCCTGTGCCAGCAGACCCTCTTCGCTCCCAGTCTCCAAGCGGTTTAAGGAAGTTGCTGTCCTCCGTGTTGCTCTCGTAGGGGTAATCATGTTCGTCAGGACCCTTCGGGGTGGACACGGAGGATGATGATGAGGACGAGGAAGACGAACGCTGCCACCAGTTCCTCCAGTTAGGAGCCGCCCAGCCAGGCTTGTTTTCTTTGCGTATTCCCTTCTCTGGCTCCGAACCTTCCAGGCTGTCCACCACTTCTATGGTAACCTAAAGATTTTAAAGGATACTATCATTAGTAGAGTTTACTGAGGCAAACATCGCTTATTATTGCTCATCCTCGAGGTTAGGGATTTAATACCTCAAGTATATACCAATAATATAAATTATATATTCATAGATACTTAAATAACCCTGAAATGGGGTCATAAAGATTCATTTAAATAAATGAATCATTTTATTCAGCAAGGACGCATAAATTTATCAAAAGTAATAGTAAAGATATTCATAATGTCACAAAAAATATTTTCTATTCTTTTGAACTATGTTCATCAAAGAATCTTGAAAAAAATAATCACTGTTTCCACAAAAATATTAAGCAGTGCAACTGTTTTCAACATTGATAACAATAATTCTTTAGCACAAAATCAGCACATTAGAGAATGATTTCTGAAGGATCACATGACATTGAAAACTGTAGTAATGGCTGGTGGAAATTCAGCTTTTTTAATATATTAAAATAGAGAAATATTTCAAAATATTAATACTTTTTTTTACATGTCTACTAACTCTCAGAGTAGACTTAGGTTTAGGGTTAGTAGAATAAGTTGACATATACTTGCACATTTTCTCATAGTATGTTGTATGTTGTGGATCTGTCAAAATAAGGTGTTAGAAGATATTAAGCAGACAGTCTACTAATACTCTAATGACTGCTAGTTGACTTGTAGTTGCAAAGTTGCTTACTGTTAGTAGAATGTCTAAAGTGGACAATAAAAATAAAGTGTTACCTTATTTATTAACATGATATATGATAGTACCATGGTAGTACCATTTGATACCATCATGCCTCCAACAATTTCCTTTTGTAAGACACATTTCAAAACAGTAATTTCATGCTGTGCTATAAAACTAAACCGAACACAGCAGTCTGCATCGGTCCCTTTTATTGCAAATCTAATTTGTTTACTTGCACATGTTGAGAATAATCCTACAGATCAAGGGTGTTTGTTGTACTGAGAGAGGGTTTTTGTGGAACATCAAACAGTGAGGGGTAGTGTGATCTTGTGGAGGTCCAGGTGGACTTTGGTTTAGGTCATGGTCATGCTCCGTGACTCGTTCTGAGACACTGCCATTCTGCAGTGACACCCCCACCCCACCAGTAACACATGTGCCTCCCAGATTGGGGCAAGGGGTGGGCTTCCCCTCTCTAGCCTCTCTTTCTCTCGCTCTCTCCACCTAAACATCAAGTTCAAAGGGCCTCTCCTTAAGACCATGAAAGCCAGATGATGCTTTGGATCAAAGATATCCATGCCCCCACCCCGAGCCTCACACACACACACACACACACACACACACATTCACTGCCATCTTAAGACATCGATACACTTTATCCTTTCTGCCATTCTTGGTCAAAATTCACATGTTTTTCCTTCTGATGTGGATGGAGCCCGTGGTGGATTAGTTGGTGGTTGGTGCTGTACAGGTGTGTGTGGTTACTAAGACTAAGCTAGATGAATGTTAGAGGTTGTGTGTGTGTGTGTGTGTGTGTAAAGATAGAGAGAGAGAAAGCGGGGGGACCAAAAGGCTCCATTCTTGAAAAGAAGTGCTGATGTGCATCAAGGCTTTCTGACACTTTCTGTTTGCCAAGATTTTACTTTATGTGCTTGGTCAGCCATGTCTCCTTTAAAAGTCTTTGTGTTTGTGCACAGCAAAAAATTTTTTTTATTAATCATTGTTGTCTTATGCAAAAATCTAAACATATTTAAAAACTAGATATATTTATTTGAGAGTTTATTAGTTATTAATAAATCGTTAAAAATTCTTTGCCAATTGGGTAGGAAAAATATCAAAAATTCCTTGAAAACAAATGCAACTTATTCCCATGGCGGTTATGCTGAATTTTCAGCAACCATTACTCCAGTCTTCAGTGTCACATGATCCTTCAGAAATCATTCTAATATGCTGATTTGGTGCTCGGTTTTTATCAATTGTGCTCAATTATCAATGTTGAAAACAGTTGTGCTGCTTAATATTTTGTAAAAAAAAATATTTTTTCAGGATTCTTTGGCACATTTCTGACTTCTTCCACCTCCTGCTTCCTCTTCATTCCCTTTGCTTAAGGAGCATGACAGCAATTCAATTAGAAGCCTCTCAGGGGGTCTTCCCAGGAGACTGGACAGGAAACGAATGTTAAACACAAAGTGCAAAAGGCCTTTCAATGCAACACCTATATCAAGTTGTAAAATATTTGTTTTCTGACATTATCTGAGGAAATACACAACTTCTTGTAGACTGGACAATTTTCATGACACTGTTAATCCTATAGATTAAATAATAAAAAAAGAGAAGAAAAAAGGTAATAATCGATGATGTTTATGTTTAAAGGTTTGTAGGTGCTGGTGGTTCTCTACTGCATCTGTACATTAAGTTCTTCAAGATCAGAAACTGCCAGTGGGGCTTAACTGGCCATCACCAGGCACTTGAGTGACGTGAGTGACGTGACATGTGGCCAAGTATGGTTACCCATACTAGGAATTAGTGCTCTGCAGTTAGTGCTCTCCATCCAAAGTGCACATACACAGCAGTGAACACACACACAGCGTGAACACACACCCGGAGCAGTGGGCAGCCATTTATGCTGCGGCGCCCGGGGAGCAGTTGGGGGTTCGGTGCCTTGCTCAAGGGCACCTCAGTCGTGGTATTGAAGGTGAGCGAGAGCGCTGTACATTCACTCCCCCCACATACAATCCCTGCCGGACCGGAGACTCGAACTTGTAACCTTTGAGTTACGAGTATGACTCTCTAACCATTAGGCCACGGCTTCCCCACATAACACTGTCCCCAAATAATGATCTGATTAGTGCTCTGCAGTTAGTGCTCTCCATCCAAAGTGCACATACACAGCAGTGAACACACACACACCGTGAACACACACCCGGAGCAGTGGGCAGCCATTTATGCTGCAGCGCCCGGGGAGCAGTTGGGGGTTCGGTGCCTTGCTCAAGGGCACCTCAGTCGTGGTATTGAAGGTGAGCGAGAGCGCTGTACATTCACTCCCCCCACATACAATCCCTGCCGGACCGGAGACTCGAACTTGTAACCTTTGAGTTACGAGTATGACTCTCTAACCATTAGGCCACGGCTTCCCCACATAACACTGTCCCCAAATAATGATCTGCAATCGTAGATATTGTTAAAAACAGTCAATACATACCCACAATGCTACAACAGATGCAAGATGTATGCAAATATCACAGTATAGCTTCTGCCTCCAACCTTCACTGCTGCCCCCAACTCTCCTCAAACCTGGTGATGTTTGACACATTCTGTGTACATTCCAGACATTTTTTCAACAGCCGTGTGTCATAAACGTGTTCCCAGAAAAGTGAGTTCTGTCCCAAGACTCTCCGTAACAAAAACCACAGAATTGACCTCCAGGGCTAAACTGTAAAGACTCACTCGGGATTCCTTCATTTCCTTTAGCAGCCACTGACTGTAGTAAAACCAGTAACAGACTGTTCAAATTCAAACTTTTAGCTTTCAGCTTCTGAAAATCCAAACAGCTGTTGGAGAACTACATAATAAAGGAAATATCATTAAACTGTTCAGCTGAATCACATTGCTGCTGCTATTCCTCTACAAGAGAGCCACCATAGTGGATAAACACACATTCATCATGGTGTTGTGCCAATGTTTGCAGACTGACAAAGGCATCTCGGTGTCATGCTAAAAATACATCAAAAAGCCAGCCGCAGGGTTTTTAATGCACCCAACAAAGCCCTGATGATCTCAAACCCTTCTTGACCCCTTGGTCCGGTCTCTGGGAGCATTGCACTTGCTCCATAAACAGATGGCAGAACACTTTTAGCTGAAATCTGCACAGAGTCATTAAAGCCAGGTCTAATCTCGGCTAACGGCACTAAAGGACAGTCTAAACTGAGAATGTATTCTGTAGCCCTGAAAGTCACCCTGCTTTATTTTAATGTTGTGCACCAATGTGTTGAACACATTTAGTCTATATTTGGCTTCCCCAACCCCCCTTTTTAATCTGGGCAAATGCATGGTTTGAAGCAAGAACATATTAACAGGATACTTGAGTGACACTGATGAACTAGTGGTGATAAATGATAGCCTGCAGCTAGTCAACTAGAGAGAAAGAGAACATCTCTGACCCTGGCTGAACCCCAGCTCAGTTTGAATGCTATGTCAAAACTAACTGACTAGATTCAAAACGGTGCATAAATCTGTGCAACATTACAAATAATGATGTTATGGTTGTTTTACCGTCACAATGTGTATGCATATTCTATTCATGTCTATCTATCTATCTATCTATCTATCTATCTATCTATCTATCTATCTATCTATCTATCTATCTATCTATCTATCTATCAGGGGATCGATTGATCAGTGCAATGCAAAGATGGTGAAACATATTCATATTTTTCATTTATTTACTGTAATGCACATATAAACAATAAATAAAATAAAAAGTCAAGATAAAGTCATATGTCAACCCCCAGTCAAATGAAATATATTCTCAGTGACAACAAAATAGATTTAATTTTCTTTGTGTTTTCTTTTGCCATATGATTTTTTTTCTTTAAAATTTCCCCCACAAATTCTCATTATGGTAAGGAAAAATATATATATATGATAAACATAAACAAATATATAATTGTGATTAAAAAATCGTAATGGTCTTGCAATTCATTTTATTGAAGCAAAAATAAAACAACTTTGATTTTTGGAGAAAAACAATAAGATCTGGACGTGTTTTCATAAAACTCACCTCCGCCACCTGCTCCGAGCTCACGGTGTCATTTCCGTGCTGCAGCGGGCTGCTCCGCAAAACCGTGATGTGTAACGTCAGAAGAAGGAGTCCCAACAGCAACAGCAGCTCCGCCGCCAGCCGCACCATCCTCTTCACTCGAGCACTCTTAGGACCCTGCGCCGCCGCCGCTGCTGCCGGGCTTCCGCTGTCGCCTCCTGCCGCTGCAGACACTCCGATCTCCGGATCCGCCGCGGACGAGGAGCCGCCACACCACTGCGGAGCCACCTCGGGGTCCAGAAGAGCAATACTCACGGGAAAAAGAGTAAGTGGCTAGAAATGATCTCAAAGAAGCCCAATCACTCCCCGTTTGAAAACGGATCAGATCAATGAGGGATCTATAGCTCCTGATCTTAAAAATGGTATACCCCCGATGTCCAAAAATAACTTGAATTTCCTTTAAAAAGCAAAAAAGTAAGTCCCACAAACTCCAAAGCTATGTACCATTCCATTGAGCATCAGTATAAAATGCAAAAGTAGATTCTATTTTGAGATAAAAAGTTTTACTTCTTCATTGGAGTTTTACTTGTGCGCAGGTAAATCAGGTACACTGGCACAAGAGCACAATTCTGAGAACCTGCAGCATTCTTCTTCTGTTTTAAAATAAAAAATAAAACAAAACAACAAAGTCTCGAGTTCAAACCACTTCAAATCCTCGTGGTCTATCCTTCACGTCTAATATAAAACTTTGGGTACATTGTTGCGCTCCGGTGCATTGCGCAAAGTGCTGTCATCCTCTCCAAATGCCACTGTGTCTTCAAGGATTAAGTGTAGTTCACTATAAGCCCATCTTCAGAGTGATGAAGATCCAAAGTTCCTCCTCTGACTAACTCATCTGAGCTCTGTCCTTAGGAGGGTGTATGAGCCGCTCTTGCGCAAGAGTATCCACACACACCTTCTGCGTAAAAGCGCGCTGTCAAATAACACACGACACCACAGTTCAAGACTAGTGTGTGTCCGCGTGTGTTCCCTTCTGTCGTTGTGTGTCTTTAGTCCAGCACAAACACAGCC